TGACGGACTTGCATTCATAGGTGGATCAAATGCTGCTGATGATCTGATCAAGCAACACCCTCATCCCCACAGGTGAAGGTCTTTCTTCAGCTAGAAGCAAACAACATGGCGGTACGTACTAGTAGAGTACTCAAGCGGATGAAACAAGTGTTTGTCTTCGCCTTTATGTCAATGTGTTCACCTTCTACAACTCACGGGCTTGCACAAACATTACTTCAACCTGAAAAGATCTACCTCCCTGACATCTTTGAACGCAAACACAAAAAGGTCTTGGAGAATGCCCTATCGGAAACCATCACTGGGACCCTCAGCTACAATGGACAGAGATGCACAGCGCTCAAGCTACTCTTTGTACCTAAAGCACATGGCGACTCGTTCACGAAAGCTTTCGTACAAAAGGTGGAAGGTATGTCTCTTGGGACGGTTTTCTGGTGACATCCTGTGTTTGTCGTTGTGAAGCTCACTTTTCCCTTCTCAGCAATGCGGGTTGGGCTTCCTTGGCAACAGTTTGAGGACGAGAAGTTCTCGCAAGTGACACCCTTGCCGAGCGCCAAACGTGTCCAATACATGAAAGAGTTGATTGCTGACGCTCTTGAGAAGGGTGCTTCGATAATGAACAAGGATGGTGGCACTCTTGTGGGAGGCGACGTTCCACGCTGATGGTGCCCGCTGTCTCTACCCGGTGGATTCCAGCATGAAGGTGTACCATGAGGAACAGTTTGGACCTGTCATCCCTATCGCCCTATGAGGAATTTGAAACGGTACTCGCTTTTGGTCAAGATGGCCTTACGCGCAGCAGGTTCGCTATTTACCGCCAAAGGATGCAGAAACAGCTTCGACCGTCATTGATCGCTTCTCCGCTGTCTTTGGCAAAATCAATCTGGCTCACAATGCGGTCGCAGCCCCGACACGTTGCCTTTCAGTGAAGGAGGAGCTCAGCAATGGGTGTCATGTCTGTGTCCCATGCTTTGAGAGAGGTATGTTATCAATCTGCTATCATTTTGAGTCAGTCCGTGCCACCCTGTAGTCCTCAACGAACCATGCTTTCGATGTCGTGTGTTTTCATATGTAGTTCTCCGTGCCAACAGTCGTAGCTTACAAGGAAAAGAAGGACGTCCCAACTGAGGAACTCGTGAAGAAAGTAAGCAAGACGTCGAAGTTTCTGCAATCTGTTACTGCAAAGTCATGAACGAGTCGAGTCGGCATGTACAATCGCGACGAGAACGTCAGGGACATCAAAAAGACTGGTAGAATAGAATAGATGACTACTAGAGATATTCTAGCAGTTCCTTCACAGGAAAGCAGCTAGCTAGATGAACTAGCAATTAACTTCCAGACGGCGTTCTGATGCATATCACCAGTTCCAAAGGTGGCATGGTAGCTCGTCCTCCTCCCGAAATGAAAGGACGGTCCCTCAGGCAGCACTTGAATGCTTCCACTATACGGTGCCATAGTACCAGGTACCAATTCATTCATACAATACAGTAGCTGTGAGCACCACAGTGGTTGTCTTCGCTACGAAAGGATCGAAATAGATTGGACTTACTCGTCAGGAAATGAACGAGACCTCCAACGGTTGGAATTTTGAGAACTACAATGTTCCCCATGAGTAATGCTGGGATGATTGTGGCGTAGGTCTGAAAGTTGCGTAGAGCAGTAGAGACGAAGTGAGTGACGTAGCATGTATGCACAAAAGCATAATCGCAAGCAGCACGCACCTCATTCTGGAGTTAGGGAGAGCAGAAGGAGACATAGCGAGTGAGTGAGTGACTTGACATGTATGTACCGGTACGTCCAAAAACCAACCAAACAAACAGCACGCAGCAATAATTACCAGTGGATAGTTGTAGGGTCCCAATGCGAGAATGATTCCAATGGCAGTACGCCTCACCAGCGCCTTGGTGCTCCCGATTGTCTGCCAAACACCTGCAAATTCTGGGTCTGTTTGGATGCTTTCGATAACCTATAGATAGTAGCAGTGCCATAAAAAAGAATGCGTGAATTGGTGGATTGGTCTCTGTACAAAACGCAACAAGTCTGCGACGACTTGGATTATTCGACTTTTACCTTTCTGGCAAAGGCAACAGTTCGATCAAACTCTGCCTCGGCATCTCCATAGTTCTTTCCGATTTCCCACATGAGCAAGTTGATAATGGAACTTCGTTGGTCCTGCAATGCCGACAAGAATGCTTCAATAGCTTCAATTCGTTCCTGCAGTGACATTTGTGGCCATACTCCACGTCCATTGGCCCACGCCTTTTTGGCCGCCGCCAAGACTTGCATCGATGTTTCGGTCGAGAATTGTGGCATTTTGCCAATTTGTGTGGGTGTCAAGGCTGACTCTTCTTCGTCACTGTTCCTGTTGCAACATCCAAAAATATCCTTACTTCCTTGATCCTTGACAATGGCTTCGGGAAAAAAGGAGGCTCCCTCAATCATGGGTGCCACTCCCAGGGGAGTGCATGTTGTAGTGCCGCCAGTGATTCCGGTCAAGGATTCCAAACAAACATTCTTCTTGTCATCTCCGTCTGCTTGCACTCCTCGGACGCCCAGAATGGCCAGAGAAAGGATGAACCGACTGAAATGGAACTTCATGGTGGAAGGACGATTGAGGCTCTAGGTAGTGTTATTGTGATAGTGCAGGGTGGATAATGTTCTCTAGAGCTATCGCACTCGTATGACAACAGCTATCGGTATGATTGACAACTAGCTATATAGCCCGGTCAAGAAAATGACGAAAGATCGAAATGGACCAATCAATGAGGTCAGTGCCCTTCTTCTTGCAGGATTGAAGACTCGATTCATCATTCATTTGACAAATCTCGCTGGCTTGATCGACTCAAAACGAGTTTGGATCGGATTGTTTTAGACAGAAGACAGCGCAATGACGATGACCGCGACGGTCCTCCAACCAACAGAGCCCTCAAGACGAACACCACCAATTCAAACGCTCTTGTCATAAACTTTCCAGAAGAAACAGAAGAGGGAGACAGATTCCTTGGCACACAATATTTCCCAACAACTAACTCAATCAAAACGAAGCCCAGTCCATCAATAATAATCATTGACCATGTCCGACGGAGAAGGAGATTTGTTCGCTGACAGCGATGACACTGCCGAGTTGATCAGCAACAGCAAGCCAGAGCCCAAAAAGGCAGCCAAGAAGAAACTGGGAGCCGCCGCGAAACGCAAACGTGCCAATGTCCCCGATGCCGATGGCGACAGCGACAAGGAAGACTTGTTTGATTCGGACGATGAAGGCAGTAGTAAGAAACCAGCCGCCAAGAAATCCAAACCCATGTCGAAAAAAGAAAAAATGGAAGCGCTGCAAAAGAGAAAGCGTGCTGCCGCGGGCGGAGATGAAGACATGGTGAGTGGCGTTCCGTCCGAAAAGAGCAAAAAAGGCGGCGGAGGAGAATCGGACGGCGAAGACAGTTACAACTCGGCAAATTTCCAATTGACCGAAGACGATCGCAACTTTATCGATACCGAAGGAGACGATGCGGAAGCCATCAATGAACTCTACGCTGAGCAACACTTTGACGATATCCGTGGTGAAGCCATGGAGGACGATGGAATGAGCAGGAAAAAGAAAGGTGGCGGTGGCGGAAGTCGGTCCAGTGGCAGCCGCAGCCGTAGTGAAAAATTAGACCCCGAGAAGGATCTCGATAATCCCATCATGGCGGCCGTTCACAAGATGAAGAAAAAGAAGAAGGAAAATCGATCCTTGACGGAACTCGAGGAAGAAGCCAAGACGTTCTTGGAAAAAATGGAACAAGCGGCCGAACTAGACGAACAAGCCATCAAGGAACGACGTCCAGCAACCAAGAAACTCGTCTTGTTGGGACACGTCGTAGAGACGCTCACCAAGCGAGACCTCATTCGCGTACTCCTCGATTTGGATGTCCTTTCCTTATGTCGACGATGGATTCAACCATTGCCCAATGGAACCCTCGGTAATGTCACGATTCGACAGAGGCTTTTGGATTCCATTGCCAACATGGCGGAGATTACACCCGGTGACCTCAAGAGATCCGAGTTTGGAAAAGTCGTCATGAGCCTCTACATGCACAAGAGTGAGACACCGGCCATGAAACGACAGCACAAGGCACTCATCGAACAATGGAGCCGACCCATCTTTGAAAAATCAGGAAACATGAGAGACTTGGCGCGGGTGCACCATGCACGAGGAGAAGGTGGTCTGGCCAGCATTTCAAGACAGCAAATGGCAGAGCAACGCCGCATGGAATCGGCAGCGGCTGGTAGTGCTGGCGGAGGCAGGAAGGATATCGACTCCATGATCAAAGCTGGAAAGGCAAAAGGTGGGGCATCGGGGCTCAATCGGGTTCGTGTGCCGTATTCCAAGGGCTTTCAATACACGATCCGGCCCAATTCCAAGACGACACAGAGTCCCGCTGAAAAGGGAGGACAAGCCAAGGACGCTGGCGCAAGAGGCAATCTGAAGAAACGCATGATGGAAAAGGGTCGAGCCGTGACCAAAAACCAAAGGAGTGCCAACATTTCGGTCGAAGGGCGAGCCAACAAGGGCTAGTACCAGGTACCGCTGCACGAAACTGAAAAGCTGCCCTCTGATGTCGCAAATATTAATACATGTACGAGGAGGAGTGAGACAATCTGCCTTTATCAAAGATACATACATGTAAATACATAGTTTTATAGTTTCTTAATGACTTGCTTTTTATACTTGTGAGAGCTGCTTTTGTCATATTTCCTTCCCACCGTAGTGTGTTACCCTGGCATTGCTTTAGCTGACTGCGTTGCGTTAGGTGCGTGGCTACCGGTACGACTGTACTGGTGAAGCTCCCCAACAAAATGATCAAATCCATCATCTCTATATCTGGCCAGTGGCAACACGCTGGGCGAAGGTGTTTCGGCAACTGATCACTTCGACTGTACCGTAGCAAACGGAGGCAGCAAGCGGCGAAGTACGGTAGTCAGAAGCCCATTGTACCGGACAAAACAGGATTTTGGAAAAGTATCACAGTTTCAGGAACTCTGTTTCCATTGCGGTATCTGCGGCTAAGCTGGGCTTACTGCCAAAAACTATGTGACAGAGGCACGCATGCTCAACACGCCAAAAATAATGCGATCCTTTCTATTATTTCTTCTTGTTTACAATTCGGAGCCTACAATTTACCTCTCCTTCAAGCGATTCTGCATGATAGCAAGACCAAGCTCGTAAATTGTTGACGAGAGCAGGCGCTCTTCTCGCTTTTGGGCGGTCTTCTCGGAAGCGCTTCTGTTTTCGAGGGCTTCAATCTTATCTTGCTTTTCTCTCAGTTTTGCCTTGCACTCCTGGAGTGCCACCAAGTACTTGTCTTGGAACTTTGCCAGCGTTCGTTTCGTGTACGTCTCGAGCTTGTCTTTGTCGCTTCCAATTTTGGCATTTTCCTTTTCCTTCTTCACAAGCTCCTCCTTCAGTCGTTCGATCTCTTGCTGCAAAGCACCGGCATCTCCACTGGCGACTGCAGCAGCAGTCGAAACGGCTCCTCCCGCCTTGAGCTTTTCAAGCTCTTCCTTCAAAGTCTTATTCTCAATTTGCAAGCGCATAAATTTCTCCTTGTTTTGCGTGGCGCTCTCTGCGTCCATCATACCAGCATCTCCGAATCCATCGCCGAGGTCATCTGCGGGCATGTTGTTTTGTTGGGCTCTCAATTCCGTGAGCTCACTTTCATACATTTTCTTTGCCGTCTCGGCGGCACTAAGCTTGCTCTTTAAGTCAGCAATCTCGGTCATGGTGTTCTTGACAGAATCACTGGATTCGGCTTTCTCCTTTTCGAGAGCATCGACCTTCTTGTTCAGCTCATCAATTCCTTTTTGAAGCGTAGCAGACTTTTTCACTTCGGATTCAAGATCCATAATTTGACGTAGATAGTTGGCTGCTTGATCCTCCAAATCCGTCATTTGCTGATTCATGGCACCAACACTCTCAAGTTTCTTTCGGTATGCCATCACGGTTGCCTCAGTTTTCCGCAACTGTTCCACCCGAGAACTCGCGACATCCAATTCATCCGCCAGTTGAGCTTTTTGTTCCTCCAATTCTATCAATTTGGATTTGAGATCACTGAGCTCCGAGGTGGCGGTCCTCAATTCTTCTTCGGTGTCAATCAACTCGTCTTGTCGCTTGACCAACCGATCCTGCAAATCCTCGACCAATGCTTTTAGCTTTTTCTGAGCCTTCTCATGTTCTTCAGTCAAGAGATCTGCTTGAGCCTTCTGTTGCGTCATCTCACGACGAGCATCGGCAAGTTTCTTTTCTAGGTGTTCCTTTTCAGCAATATCCACCGCACTGGCTGTGGGGGTACTACGGTTGTGCCCTGAAACAAAGAGATGCTTGCTTCCGCCGTCCCCCAACATCATCCCTCCATCTTCCTGTACATCCTCGTCCTCGTCCTGTCCAAATACTAGTTCGTTTTCATCGTCTCCAACGTTTTCAGAATCGTCCATCTCGCCATCTTCACTGGGCTCGTAGTCCGACAGGCGGGTCATGGATGATTCAATGATTCCCTTCATTTGCATTTGGCTGTTGGGTGTCATTTGCATAATCCGGCCTACATATTCGGCACGATCAGGACATGTGACAGCAGCAGCCGCCACCAGTTCTACAAGGAGGGAAATAGATCCTGGTTCAGCGTGACGAGCAATATCACTGACATTCAAAGCAGAAAAGGATTCAGCCGCATCCTTCTTGAGATCCTCTTGGAAGTAGTTCTCCAAATTGCGCAATAATTTTCGAAGATTGGAGGATTTGAGAGCCCAATTGTCACCCAAATGACGGGCAATGGTCGTGGGGTCAAAGTGGTCAGGCGCACTGTTCCACGGAGAAAACGAAAGAATGAGAAAACCATGGACAAAAGATACCCCCACCAAAAACCACAAGGGACACTCCACTCACATCTCTGAAAGAGCCTCAAATAAAGCTACACCATCGCTTAAATCAGACATTTCAGCAGGAGGGGAGCCAGATAAGGTGGGAAAAGTTCCGAGGAACTCCACCATGGCCGTGTAGCGGTCTTCATCTCCCATTGTATCGTTGGGTAATATATGCAACTTAACAGGTAGATATCAATGGCAAAATCGGTTCTTCGTCTTCAACCAAGCGAAAAGACTCTCTGAGCAGGGTATGTCAATGGATTCTTTTGTTCAATGGCTCTCTCGAAAGTCACAAGCCGCCTGTACAAGCAAAATAATATAATAATAACAGCACAGCTTCCCCTGTTCGATCCACTCCGAACGAGAAAGAAGAAGATACCAAACCGGACGGAAAATCAAGTAACTACAACGACAAGCCTCTTCCTTTGCAAATCACAGCCGTCTTTTAACCAGGACGCCTGTGTTTGGTTGTCAGTCCTGATGGGAAACAAAAGGTGTCAACAGGCGCAACAGAGCTGATGAGTGTGGCTTCTGTCGTACCAGAGTAGAGCACAACGGATGAACGGCCAAAGTCGTCGTTGTTTCACAATGTTGTTGGGGCGCGCAGTGACCGTGGCTGGCATTGGGTTGCAGCGGCTGTCAAGATAACTAGGTCGCACACAGGAACCTTTTGAGCTCCTCAGCGGTACCAGGTAGATCTAGCTTGTGGTGATGGTACCATCGTCAGCGGTTGAATAGGAGCGCATCATTAGTTGGAGTATGGTAACACAGCAGCTACCCTCTGTCGTCAGCAGCTTTTGGAACATTGGCCGTATGACTGGAGTGAATTCAGTTTTAGTCTAACGGTTTCTCAAATGGCGGTACTGTCGAATCTGATTGGTAATGTCGTTCCTGCATTGGAGTGCATGCAGGGCCATCGTCAGGACTTGGAACTTCAAGCGTAACTGGGTCAATGCTGGGGAACTGGGAATGGGCGAATAGGTCGGGCACTTCTTGGCGGCGTGGAGGCTTGCAGAAAGTAGGAGTTGGTCCAAGGCCTCAGCCTCTTGCTGGGTAGGTGCCTGGTTGAATCTCCAGAGCAGAAGTTGAAAGAATCCATGATTCTCAAGATAGCTGTACTTGGATTTGATGTAGGTGGTGACTTGGTGGCGTTTCTTGGAGTGCACCCTTCGTTGACAGGGCTTGGGTAAAGCTGCTGTATCGGACCCGAACAGCTGTTTCAAGTCGAAGTCAACAAAGCAGGCACGGTGGTCACTATAGAAGTGGTCACAGAACGGATGGTAACCACAAGCGTCGACAGCATCCAATAGGTTTTCAGAAACGAGGATGTACGGTACGTGCGCCTAAGTTCTATTCGAGGAAAGTAGCTATCTATATCTAGTAGCTAGACTTTGCAAGCTAACGACACTACGTGCGAGTGCGAAAGCTTTGTTCCTTTCGTACCGCACCGCAGTCTTCCGATGGACCCTAGTTTATATTTTGCTTGTACTGATGATTGCTATCTGGCCAAACCTTGTGGGTTCTTTTGGGATGCGGCAAAGAGCGATTGATCCAAGATACCCATGGCTGTAACGACGCCCCCCACAACTGCACATACACTGGTAAAGAAAGCGACCCAGCCCTTTTGCTCTTCCTCGATAATGACATGCAACGGCGAGACCTCATAGAAGAAAAAGACTCCTGGGAGTCCACGTCCCGTGCCCGGATTGACATGTCGGAGATGCTCTGTGACACTGTATTGATTGGTTTGAATGGTTGTTCCATTCAAGAATTTGTACAGCGTCGGGACCACCTAACAATGGAAGGAGACGAAAACGAGCATGAATGTTACATCCTGACGATCACTCAATAATAATCATCGAGTGGGTGAAGACAAACAGCTCGCTTACCTGGAAATAGTATTGGTACATGCCGTAGGAATCTGCGATGATTCGTTCTTCGCCATCCAACTGGTTGGGATTCCGAGGGACTTCTTCACCAAACCTAATTTTGTGAATTGTATGCGATACATTCCTGCCATGTTCGATGGGAAGAAACCACAAGGAAATGAGCACACACACACACGTAGTCGCACATCCAATGAACAATATCGATATTGATATAGATTCCATGGAACGATCCTCTCACCATTGCTCAAAGGTCCTGAGCACGAGGTCAAACAGAGAGATTTGCGAATTGTCACCAGCTTCGTTTTGCAAGGCACGCCCCGGGGCCAAATGCAAGTTTCCACCTCCCGAACTCAATGCTACCTTGCCATGAATATTGCATCCTTCGCCCTTTTCCACCACGTGCACTAGTTCTTCTTTGCATTGTTCCACTTGCTCCAAATCTCGCAGGACCCATCCTTTTAAATTGTAGGCTCGCTTGACATCATCACACGAGTTGCAGCATTCTCCCTCTTCTCCAGCTCCGTAACAACTTCCACAATAGTTTTCATCTTCTCGTTCTCGCGTGGCATTTAACTTTCCCTCGAGTTGATTCATGAGAATGTCTTCCGACAAGAGGGTACTTCCCAATTCCAATTTGGATCGATCTCCAACATAATGCAGTTTTCCATCGTCTTCGTACTTGATTTTGTGCTTCCATACGTGATGTTGTCGGTCGAGGTGCAGGGATTGGGCCTGTCCATTGGGATCGTTGGCATCAATGTTGAGGCGAGAGCAGGGGAGTGATCGGAGGGTAATATCAAATTCCAATTCGAGGCCCGCAGGTGATGTAGCATTGACATGTACTTGTTCCGAGAAACGAACTTGGAAATTGTAGGACCATTCCGTTGCGACCAAGTAGATAATGGCTGCAAATATTATCGCAAATTATCAAGGCACAAAGGAAGGAAGAAGATGGAAGAAATAAATAATCATCGAGAAAGATATTAGTATTCGATAGATCCCGCGGCAAGGCAAAAAAATTGTTCAATTATTCCACTCACTGATCACTGTGATAACAGACAAGATAGCCCCTTGGAGAGTGTAAACACGGAACTCTTGGGATGGAGCGCTCTGGGTATCCAGGTTTCGAAGGCGGTCGGCAAACGGGGACATGGTCGCGATGGTTGGAAGTGCGAGAAATTTGTGAGGTTGCAGGAAGCCGTTCGCTTGGGTTCAGTCATCAATCGACTCATTGGAATCAATTTCAAGTCGAACGGGTCGAGTATGTGGTCACTCGAAAAGGAGGATCCTCTCGGAGTACTCGCTGGTGGCCAGCGTATCATTATTTAGGCACATTGGCACGCACGCCGCATTGGCGACAGTTTGATGTTCGTGTCTGTAGGTGAGGATTAGCCTCGGCCGTTCGAACTCAACCTTCCCCCAATCACAATGGCACCCTTTCACCGTCACTTGCCGTCGATCAGATCCTAAAAGCATTAAAATATAGTCCAGCACAATGGGCGACAATAGCGCAACATGTTCCTCTGTATACTGTAACCAAGGATGGGCCGAAGTGCTGACGCACATGTCACCCTATGGTTACGCCAATTTCGGTGTAGCGTTTGGTCTTGGACTTTCGATTGTGGGAGCCGCATGGGGCATTTGGTTGACAGGATCCAGTCTGGTCGGTGCGGCCGTCAAGGCGCCACGAATCCGAAGTAAAAACTTGATCAGGTAGGTTCTTTCTATCGTACGCGGTGTTGTTGTCGGTGTTGTCTTGCTGTCTCTTGTGCAAAGAGTCGAGTCCAATGAGGAGGAAGACTCAATTTTTTTTTGGATATCTCCTCTTTCGCGACATGAATCATCAGTGTCATTTTCTGCGAGGCGACTGCTATTTACGGTGTCATTATGGCCATCATTCTGACCAACAAGATCAAGGAACCAGAAAACCCCGACTACTATCTAGAAGAAGGCTGGGACTACAATGGATACTACTACGCTGGATACGGAATGTTCTCCGCTGGACTCTCGGTAGGATTGACCAACATTGCTTCGGGAGTGTCGGTTGGAATTGCTGGATCCAGTTGTGCCATTGCCGATGCACAAGACGCTTCTCTGTTTGTCAAGATTCTTATTGTCGAAATTTTTGCTTCCGCTTTGGGTATCTTTGGTATTATTGTTGGAATCATTCAAAGCAATGCCTGCACATTCCCCATTGCGGCATTGGGATAGACAATGACAACAACAACAACAAATCAATTACAACCAAATGCTGCCAGCCGGAGAAACCGCCATTCCATTTGATTGGATGGTACCAAATCTGCCCCTTTTCGAGCCTATAGTAGGCCTTGTGTAAGATAAAACGACATCAATTCACACTACTAAAAAAGAGAACTAGCTAGCTGGATTCTTCCATACCCAACATCAGACATCCATTTGAATTGGTAGTTACTTTTAGCTTTGTTTCGTTAGTGACATCTGCGTTTCGTACCTGCTTTTCCGCTACCGATAGACACGAATCAACTATCAGTACCAGTGCTGGCAACGTAACACCTTCACCATGGTAGCGGGTGATACCATACTGCCGGTACTAGTACGTACGATTCAGCTCGATAATGGGAAATCTTGTTACATGTAGAACAACTATCTCGTCTCTTGCCACGAGCCAACATCGGTGTCGCCGTCCAATGTACTTTAGCAGCTACTTGAGCGGGAAACATCTAATCAGGCTGTCTCCTAGTAGCTTCCAACATTACGATGCCTATCTATCTAATTATTCGTAGCTCTTCGTGTGCATGAATTGCCAAATGCCGCCGACCACCTTCTCTAGCTAGCATTAGTGCTCTTGGTGGAAATGCTGGATGGATTCATCACATTCCATGTCCCATGCACTCAGCTACGACATTGTTGCAGTTTCAGCATAGTTTGTCTTGTTATCGCACCATCATCGTCATGATTTCTCTTGTTTGCTCACAGGCCTCATTCTCCAAAACGTTTCATTCAGGCGTTCATGTTGTGGTTTTGTGTTTCAATTTCGGGAGATGAGCCAAGACTTGGTTGCCTGTGTCGGTTCTTGCTTCCAATTCGATGTTTCATTGGAATCGAATTGAAGCATACTAAATGTTGGTTGTTGTTTTCGGCATATTGTAGCTCGACAACTCATCAGCAGTGATTTCCTTTCGTGTCTTGTGATTCTGTAGACACAAGGATTGAGCTCCAATGGCCTACCGTACTGTACCTGCTGCTGATATCCCAATCTTTTTTTTCATGCGCTAGCCCATCCAACAACAACCTGACGACCTTCGTCTTTCTCCCAAATTGATTGCTGTATCATCTGTGGTTTGTGTATTATCATATGGTGACTCCATGGTCTTCTTGGCGACATGTTCAAAGAGCTCGGTCACATTGGTGTTTTCTCTGGCAGATGTTTCGAGGTAAAATGCACCAATGCTTTCAGCATAGTCGGAGGCTTCACTGTGTGGCACTTGCCGGTCTCCAGAGGCTTCCAGATCCACCTTGTTGCCGCAGATAACGACAAGGATATCCGGTGGTGCTTTCGTTTTCAAGTCGTCGACCCATCTCTTGAGGGTCAAAAAGCTGCTATTCCGGCTAATGTCGTAGACAATAATGGCGGCTCCGGCACCTCGGTAATACATGGATGCCAGTGCGTGATATTTTTCTTGCCCGGCCGTATCCCAAATCTTGAAATTGACCTTGGTGCTTCTTCCGGTGGGCTGGTCCTCTACCATCATGGTGGGTTCGAAAAAGCTGGCTCCAATGGTAGATTCTGTGTAGGGCCGAAATTCATTGTTGGTAAAGCGAAGTGCTAGACTCGTCTTGCCCGTGTTTGCTTCTCCCAACAGAATCAGTTTAATGGAAATCTCATCGTTCTGCGGAACATCGGAAGGCTTGCTGGAGGATGGCCTTCGGTTGGCCACGAATGCCACAGTGCTGTTCATTTATTTATTCTCTGCAAATTCTGAGAATGAGCTTAGTAACCTCCCGAAAAGACTGTGATGAGGCAATCCCATAGAGACAAACTGATGGCTCGGATGGATTGGGTACTATCTAGCTGGTGGATTGTCATCAATCTGGAGCTCCTGCTGGTAACCCCTCCATGCTGTCACCGAGGCTTCGTCTTGACGTTTTCACATTCTCGATTGCTCTCAAAACTCGAATGATGTGAGTGACCTCTGTAGCCAGCTGGGCTGTTTGCTTCCCGTCTCTCCCAACAAAATCGGATCCCGGTCATGATTAACTTGAATCACCTTCATTCAGGACCCACCGGCTAAATGTTACCGGTGTGGAGGTCCCGCCCCTTCCAAGGGAGATGGTGTGACTTCAACTGGGCTCGACGAAGGTACTTAGAAATACCCACAAAGGCGGTGGAGCCACTTATTGTTCCTGCTAATTATGGGATTTGAAAAAATTGTCCCATCATTCCGTATTTAGCCTAAGCAAGAGGTATGATCATGTCAAGCCTGAAGGTAAGCATTCATTTTGAATCGAGCAATGCAACCAGAGGAGTCCCTGCCGTATGGAAGGTTGCATTCTGATGAGTAACATTCAGCGTTGCTGTGGATTTCGATTGGCATCCAGGAGCTCCATTGCACCCGTTCTCAAAGTCCCAAACTGGAGCGTTGAGCCCCGAACGAAAATTTAACCCCAACGGTACGGGTTAGGTAGCTCTGGTAGTCCTGCCACGGAACAAGCCGTTCCACAAAATTTTGCAGAGCAGCACCCAACAGAGCCATTTCACTGAGTAGCCCCGTCCTTGTGAGAGTCTCACACAACTCATCAACTGACCAAGAGCTGGCTCGGTCTGTAGTTTACAAAGACGAAGACGACAAGGACAGGGCTGGATAGCCGGTCTCTTCGTCATACTCGCCACATTATCATCGAAAACTGAGTACGGTAGTTCAATTGTAGTGGCTGCAACAGCAACGGGGAATTGGTGATCTTCATTCTGCACAGAGAATACCTTTTGTAGTTGTCGAGGAGGCGTGACGTAGACAAGGTTAATCACTGTTGGTGATTTGGTTTGGTAGCAGGTACTAGCCAGATAGTGAGAGCAGAATAGTTTGGGAAACGAACAGCAGCAGAAGAACAAAACCAGGACACGAGTGCATACTTCAACAAGACAATGGCAGCAGTAGCTACCGACACGACAGCCTCATTGCGAGCAGAACAGGTGAAGGCTGAAGCCGAGGAACATACAGCCAATGTGGATCAACCAACCGAGGGGTCAACGCCAGCAGAGGGAGCTGCAACAATGGCATCATCAGAAGCTGCTACCACAGCAACAGCGAAGAATGCAACTCAGAATGAAGATGAGGGAGTCGAAGTTGTTCTTGGGGAACAGGGACCAGATCAAGTAGTCGACAGCAACGGTGCATCTCCGTCTCGACAAACCCCTGATCAAAATGTGTTTCGAGGATCTGCCCATTCTGGTAGGGCTTCTAGACACCCAACTAGCAGCAGCAAGGGTCCCTACCCCCCACGAGGACCACCGCCTCCACCTTATGGAGTCCAGGGATCAGGCTCGTTCGGATATGGGCGTCCGGACTACCCTCCACCACGGCCTTACCCTGTACCACCCTACAATCCATCGGGTTCCTTCGAGCAAGATAGTGCAGCAGCAGCATACCACTCGAGGCCCCCATCACATTACAGTCCACATGTTCAGTACCCACCGCCTGGGGGGCGTTATCCGGGGGAAGATATCAACGTGATTTCTCCAAATCACAAGGCAGGGGACCCCAAATACCGATCCAGCTCGGCACAAAGACGGCCGCCGACAAATTACTACCAGTATCCACCCGCGTCTCCCGTCAGTAGACCCGGACAAACGGAGTCGCCTCCGAGACTGAGAAACTTTGCCGTGCGAAGGACAATTGAGGGACCATACTCCAAAGCACAACGTAGCGGAGATATTGTGGAAGAGACTGCGTCTTGGAATCCTTTTCCTGCGCCATCCAGAACGGCTAGTCGGGCAGATCGACCGCGACCCCCATTGGTGACAGAATCATCATTTGATTCCGATCACTTTTCCAATTCGCATTACTCGCAGCAGCATCCGTCCCACCCCCCAACACCAGGGAGTGGAGCCCCGAATCACGACCCTACGCAGACATTCTACGGACCAGGAGGATCGTGGGCAAGCTTTGATAGTACCGGTGCCCATCCACCTCAACCGCCTCCTCACTACGATGACTACTCGCGAGGGCATTCGCGCCACCCACCCCACACCCCTGGTGGACATTACCCGGAACCACCGTATTCACCTTACTCGCCACACAGCCACCACTCGGCCGGATATCATCACCACTACTCGCCGGGTGGAGCCTACTACCCTCCACCGGACCATTATGGGTCTTATCACGGCTATGGTCCTCCTCCTCAGTCTTATGAGGACGACGAACGTGGGATGCTTAAGGATTATCACCCTGACCGAGATAGCCAGGAGGTCAAGTCGTCAGAGGCTTCAAACAAAAAGGGCAAGCCCTTGGCAAACAAGTCCGCTACGGGAATCGTCTTGCCAGCAGCCGCACACGAGGTTGACTTTGACGTTACAGATCCTCCTGCCGAGCCCGTCTGTCCACCATCGACAGAAGCGATTGTGGAGTCCTTGGCGGATGTGAATACCTACGATGTGCTGTGTGGAAGAGGAGGAGGAACCAACTCGCAGATTGGGAATAAACGATTCCGCAAGTTGGTTCAGGAGTTCCAGCCTACTTATCTGTTGGCTAGGAGGAAAGAGAAGCCGTTGCTAGCTAGAACAATTGTGTTGATTATTCGTAAAAGGGGCGGGCACTTCTTGCGAAAGGACGATGAATCGGGAATGCTTTTCGAAGTGGGCGATGCCAAAGCTGAGGCCAAGACTTCGCAAGCGTTGCGAGAAGGCCTCGATGTCCGAGCTACCAAGAGTGCAGCCAACACGCTGTCAGACAAGAAGAAGAAAAAGAAGAAAGGGGCCGCCCCCAAGGTAAAGGAAGAAGCAGTTGCTGAAGCAGCAGCAACCACAACAGAAGAGAAACCAGCTACCAAGCCACCAGAGCCACCAATTGAAACGCCGAAGCTAGATGTTCAGAGTCCAGAGCGTACGCCGGAGCGACCGACACAGCTGACGAAGGAGAAGCCGCCCAGTCCAATGAATGTAGACCCGGAACCCGAGTCTCCTCCCCCGCTACCCAAGCTTGCAGACGAAGACATCAAGGCAGGAATGGTCCATCCACACTCGCCAGAAGCCATGCAGTTCCGTAAGCGCCGCAGGATGCGAGCTCTGGCTTGCGGTGCCGACAAGTTCTTTCCCGACTTTTGCCCTCCTCGTGCTGATCTGGCTCGATCTGCTAGTCCAATCGAAGATGGAAACGGAAGGAGTTGCGATAGCGACGGCGACACATTGCTTCAGCACTCTCCTATGAGAAGGGCTAGCAGTATTGATGACGAAGACTTACCGAAGAGCACTGTCGCCCCGGGCTGTACCGCTGCTGCGTTGGAGATCGTGACTGGAGCCGTAACTGGGGGCTTCTGCTTTGGAACTTCGAAATAGATGAAATCATGAGACGAGAAATGGTTAAAGGCTTGCTTCTATAGAACTTTGTGCGCGTGTGTTGTTGGCTTGGATTCATTGTGTAGACCGGACGGACGACTGGGATGATCGATTTGACGGTGTTTTGTTGTATGGTGAGAGCGAATTCGACAATCAATTATAAGAAGATAAAAGACTTGAATTTTGCTACATTATGCGACGCAAGCACAAACGCTGCGCCCAACTATTAGGTACCGGTAGGTTGGGACATAAGTCGGCCCCGAAGCCAGAGACAGTCAATCTCCAATTGGTTTGTCACAGCAAACGCGTTAGCTCATTTCGAGTTGAACTTCACACAAGATACTGCACCGCCAATACCGGTGGCCAGCTAACCGACCAACCGCCACTGCTCCTGCTTCCCACCCCTGCTTCCTTTGGTGTTTCATGTGGAGTTTTACTTTTTGGCGGAGTTCTCTGTGGATGTGAGATGGAGTTTGGTTGTGGGCTTTGTGTTGTTGGACCAAGTTGGAGTTGAGCAGCTATGGACCCCTACTAGGATCAAGACAAGAAGAAAACATGTTCTCAAAGCTTCCCAAATCTAGTTGGTGAAGGCGCAAGGGGGGCCTGCACAGGGTGGGGATACTCTGTTCAATGACAGCTAGCTAGAGCATCATTGGGCCCGCGCAAAACGATGGACCTACGGATGGCAGTACTATAGCTAGATTGCATTCCGCCATTAAATTCGAAGCCATAGGCACCACATGAGGTGCAGTACCAGATCGTCGTGATTATAACTGGCGGCGCAACAAATGGCAAGCTGGTAGCCATCAATTGAAGGCTTGGATGAAAGGACCAGGGCTGATGCGGATCTGAGGACGATGCACTGTCCTTCTCTTCGAGAGAAACGTAAAAAAGAAGCCGCTCGTTGCATTTACGCCTCGCTGGCTTCCAAAAGAGAAAGCCAACTCGATCGGATCTTTCGCAAGGACCACTAAAAACGCTAAAACGCTCGTTGTCCACCATGGGCAAGAAAAGCAAACGAACCAAGGCGAAGGCCAACACACGCACTACAGCACCCTTGGAAGACCTGATACTGGAATGTCCAGAGAACGGGTGGATTCAGGAATTATCAGATGCCAAGAAGGTGGCAAAGGAAACCCCAACGGGCAAGAATTCCTTGCGGATGGCGATGGCCGCCTGCAAAGTCCGACAATGGGATTCTTGCTTAGCAGCAGCCAAATTTGGGCTGAGTCTGTTGGAGCCTAATGATGATGAAACAAAGAAGCAATTGCTGCTTTATCAAAAATGGAGCAACGAAGAACTTGCGAAGGAGTCCCAGTCCATGAAACACCAGCGAAACACGAGGGATCTTATCAAGGAGATTAAGAAGGAAGACGTTGCTATTGATTACATTCAGACAGAGTATGAAACGTTTGACAATTTGAACTTATTGCAGTATTCGGGTATTTTGGGAGATGTGGCTCTTCTAGAAGAGTTAGTGGCCCTTGGGGCAGCGATTGATTTTCCCGTGCTGACCCGAAGTACCGGTACCGGTACGGCACCTGCCACGATGGGTTCAGCACCTGAAGGTACCACCGCTTTGACCCTCCTTTGTGCCACGCTTGCAGTGGGGGCTCGAGTGAAAAAGCTGCCCGGTGGGAAATCCGCTAAACTGCAAAAGGTACATCAAGGAATCCTCCAATGCGCGATGATATTGGTCAAGAGTGGTGCCAATTGTTCCCTGGTTTTTGGGAAGCCCGATCGTCCTCCCGCGGCTAGTGCTGACCCATATCACTTTGCCAAACTCTATGGAAAGTCAGCCCAAGAACTGGCCAAAATATCTGGGAACCGAGATCTCATCCAGGCAATGAAAGAGTTCGAGGACAAGGAGCACAAGATTGCAAATGCGTTTTGCCGTTGCGGGAGTCGGTTGCCCTGGAAACAGTGCCACGCAGGAGACAAGCTTGGACAGTCACCAATTTATTTTGATGGCGATGATGGAACTACTGTTTACTTCCGGTACTCACCACTGGCACCATGCTGCTGCAAAAGTGGCAAGACTTATTGGAAGTGTTGCTGGGTGAAGTCTTCCAACCCAAAATACCAAGATGACGCAACTGGTGAGCTGACAGGCGATAGAGCTACTCGCGATCAAGCAGTGATTCAGAGTTTGATGAACCAGATACAGGTAAATGCTGATGGAACGACAACGATGTTTCCAGCGTTTGAGGGCATGTCCGGGGATGAGATTCGTGATTCGTCAGCCAGCTTCATTCGCTCATCTGGGCTGTCTAAAGTTGCTGAGGGTGCAAACCCAAAGAGTAAAATCATGACTTGGGATCCAGAAGTTTATGCTGGCTGTATGGAGCGTCTTGATGAATTTTTCTACTGGAATGATATCCATTGGCAGTTGGACAAGGGGGAATTGCTGAAACGAGTGAAGGAGTGGAACCATGCCCTGAATCAATACTGTGACGATAAGGGGCTCCAAGGAAGGCAGCGTGAACAAATAGTTCAGTGCCATTCTGCCAGTCCCTATGCTCCATGCGCCAACCCAGAATGTACAGCTTTTGAGTCAAGAGCAAAGGAGTTTGGGTGCTGCCCGAAATGCAAATCTGTGTCCTATTGCTCACACAATTGTCAAAAGTCAGCCTGGCGAGAACACAAGAAACAATGCTTGAATCGGTAAAAGACTAGCTAGCAGAACCAAGACCCATCAAAAGCATTCATTCAAGCTACGGCACATCTGGCCGTAACGCAACCTTACCAAAGTCCAACAAAGTTGGGCCAAAGCTTTGGATTTTGGATGGGTTGATGAAGAATCGAATCTTTGAGCAAACCGTCAATTACAGTACACAGCAGTGCGCTTCCGCAGGCTAGAGTGACAACCTTCGCGGCAAAAGTTGCGTCAGCGCGCCTCCGCACCGTGAGGGTTCGCGGTTTTGCCCGCCTGATCTTCATCCGCTCTTGGAGCACCGTGAAATCCACTCAAATATAACAGATCTGATCCATAATTGTTACTCTGAGTAAAAAGTTATATAAAAATTAAAGACTTTGACCATGGCCGACCGTGACCGCTCTCGTTCTCGCTCCCGTTCCCCTGATCGCTCCGGTGCCAATGATGGAGGAGGCGACCAGTACCAGCAGAACCCTCCTGCCGATGACGGCGGCAACCAAGCTCCTCCTACTAATGGCGACCAGAGTGGAGGCGGTGGCAATGCTGGCGACGCTGCGGCTGATGGAGAGGGTGTGAAGCTTTACGTTGGGAATCTCGACTATGCTACCAACGAGGATCGTCTTCGCGAAGAGTTTGCTCAGTTTGGAACAGTCACAGAGGTCTTCTTGCCCACGGAGCGTGGTACTCAGCGTCCTCGCGGATTTGGATTTGTGACACTCTCGACGCGCGAAGCCGCTGAAAATGCCATTTCCAGGATGGACCAAGCTCAGCTCGATGGACGTACCATCAGAGTTAACGAGTCTCGCCCCAAGGGAGAGCGTCGTGCTGCAGGACCTGCTGGTGCTGGAGGGTTCAACGTGTCTGGAAAGGATGAAGTGAAGCTCTGTAAGTTGGCTTGTATGCAGTGTTTGTTGATTGATCGATCGGAGGTGTCGGCATGTCAGTGTGACTGAGCATGTCGGCCCATGGCGAAGCAAGAGCTTTGTTGGTGTAATATATGTCTTCAGGATGGATGGTTCTGTGTGTCGCCAAGATTCCGTGCCATTTTCTGACAAACTTGCCGTTTCCTCTTGCTCTCAACGCCATTCAGATGTTGGAAATTTGTCATTTGATACTGTGGAAGAATCAGTTCGCAAGCTTTTTGAGGCATACGGAAATGTCACTGATTGTTTCATGCCAAAGGATCGTGATTCTGGACGAGTCCGTGGGTTCTGTTTTGTGACCATGCCGGCCAGTGAAGCCGAGCAAGCTTGCTCAAAGCTCAATGGACACGAGTTGGATGGACGTGCTCTTCGTGTGAATGAGGCCCAGCCCAGAGGAGGTGGTGGTGGAGGCGGCGGCGGCGGCGGTGGAGGCCGTGGCGGCGGCGGCTTTGGCGGTGGAGGGTAAGTGTCTTTTGCTTGATAAAATTGGCTGTGTCATGAGATTGGCGCTGACAAGACTGCCTTTTTCGCCGCATTGCACAGCTATGGTGGCAGCGGCGGCGGCGGCGGCTACGACGGCGGCTATGGTGGTGGCGGCGGGTGAGATTGCTCATATGGATGCTATATTGATGCGACGCACTTCTAGTGGTTATGGCTTGCTCACCATGGGTACTTGCATTGCATTCTAATAGGTATGGTGGCGGCGGCGGCTACGGAGGCGGAGGGTTAGTCCTTTGAGCTGTCCTTTGTTACAACCTGTGTTGGTTTCCTGCTTGGATATCTGTGCTTACCTCGCTTGCTTTTCCGCGTTTCAATAGAGGTTATAGTGGCGGCGGCTACGGTGGTACGTCGAGTACGTTGAGAATGAAGTGGCGGCTGAAAGGATGGCATCTCCTAGTGGGTTTGGTGGCAACTATTTTTCTGGAGCGCAGTCGAATGGTCTTAACCTACGCGACGAGCAAACCATGGCAGTGGCGATCTCTTGAGGTTTCCTCTGCTAGCATGCTCAAGTCCTCTCGGATGGAGGGCAACCAGCGGAGTCTTTGTCAGGTCTGAGATGGCAGATGTCGGGTCTTGCCTGCAGAGGAAGGGAGACACCGTGCGCCTTTCATGAATGACATTGACGACCAACCGATGCGTGGATTGGATTGCAGAATCTCTATCTTTGGACAAGGTAGTCCTTCGTTGCTTTCGGCAAGAGGAAATCCCGTCGGAGCACCAAATGTTGGCCCAAAACACACAAGCCCACGGGGGATGCCGGAATCAGCTTTGAAGCAGGCTTAGGATAGTTTTCTTGTTGTTAATAACGGGCCTCGCTCATCCTTGCCATTCTTGTTCTCACAGGTGGAGGCGGCTATGATCGAAGCAGTGGCGGCGGTGGTGGTTACGGAGATCGCGGCGGAGGAGGTACGTTGATTGGCTGTTCTGATGTTTACAGTGAGAAATCATTGCAACTAATATCATGGTTGGTATGCTACGTCCATCAAAGGATATGGTATATTGCTCGTTTCGATCTGAGTTGTGTCAATTGTAACTTCTCGTACCAACACCTTTTTCGTTTGCCATTACAAAGGCGACCGCGGAGGTTATGGTACGTAATTTTTCCTTCCTCTCTTCACATTTTGTTCTTCAGTCAATTCACGCTTGGTTTGTTTGGTTTCCAATGCAACAGGAGGAGATCGAGGAAGCTCATATGGTGGAGGTTACGGAGGTGGTGGTGGTGGCGGCTACGATGATCGTAGTGGTGGCTATTCAGGCGGACGCGGCGGTGGAGGAGGTTACTACGGTATGTGTTGTCATTAACAAATTTTGTGGTTTCTCAGGCTCTTGGCAGCATCGAGTACGAGTATCTTACTTCTTCGCCCCCCCCCCCCCTTGTTTTAGACGACCGAGGAGGACGCAGTGGATATTAAACCCTTTTCCCATACAGGGCGAAGCGTTGACGTTTTACACATCTTTCATTTCTTGTGCGAAGAAACAGCATGACATTCCCTGTGGCATGAGCTTCACGTGTGTGATTGGATGGACATGAATGAATGCAAAAAGTCGTCCTGGATCACTTAAAAAATCCCTATGAGATGTGATCCATTTTCGTTGCCGTAAGTATGTGACGGATAAGATTAAAGAGCCCCGAAAGGTTGGCGTCCAAGAGGAAGATAGCGAGTGGATTACGAAGTTTCTTTTTCGAGTGTCGATTCTAGCTGCGTCCGTTTCATTTGGCTGTACGGTCTGTGATTGTAGGTGTTAGATCCGTTGGTGAAAGACACAAACAACCTCGGTTATCTGTGGAGGTGAAGAAAGGGGAAGAGGAACAAGAACCACAAGGGCCCCAAAGGAATTGATCTCGATCACGAATGAAGCAAGCACCTGCTTGAGGGCGGCGTGATGAGCCGCTGTCCACATATATTGAAGCAACATCGAAGCGGACGGATATTTCACTCCAATTCGATGACCCGATCTGGATTGTCTGAAAGCAGTGCAGTGGGGTGTCTCCATTTGGGATGTACCAAGATCCCATTTCTTGTGACTTTGGGTGCAAAGCTCAACTCCAACTCTTTGCTCCATTGCAATGATCTGGTGTTCCGACCAATTCATGCAGCATACTACATGTACATGGAATTCAGCAACTTTCTTTGGTGGTGATCTAGCAGACAGCTGATTGCTTGCTCCAACGCGAGAATCCATGACCTGCTCAAAGGATAGACGTCGACGGGCTGGGCCTGGCCTACCAACTTGATCTTGTCTGTCAGTGTTATGGGGCAAACCTGTTGGTGAAGGCTGACTGCATGCTCCGATTAATTGAGGAGGATACACTATCTGATCACACGACCGTTCCGAAGGTATCAACCAAATGATGCGATACCGAATTTGTTTCAAGTCTTGGTACCGGTACATCTGGCTGCCAAAATTTTATTGCTTCGGAAGGTTCGATTCTTCCATGCTGAAGGATGACGAATATGGCGTTTCAAGAAATCACTCACTCTCAGACAAACCATCATGTGACTTCTGTCTCCCTACCCTCGGGTCATTGGATGATTTCATCGATTGAGATGCCTCTTTGATCGGCCCAAGACTTCCAGCTTCCAACGATTCCAGCTGCCACCACAAGAGACTATACTGGGCGATCCGGAGTATGAACACCCTGCAACAGTCCATCATCCTCAGTTCAAAAGGTTCCCGACCCCTCTATCAGCTTCAGTTGGTTGGTTCACTGTTCTTGCTATCGGGATTGTCTACATGACGATCGAACCACCTGCGATTCCCCTCATCCAAACTCCAGAAAAATGGCAAATGAAAGTTCTACGCGGTATCATCCAAACTCCCGACAGAACACCGAGTGAGAGTTCCACAGGAAAGGGTTGCCCCCATGCCATGGATCCCGTTAGTTTCGTTGAATGATTGCCAGCCTGATGGGAATGAACCCCTCAGGGATTGCATCGCTGCATTGGATTCGATTGTGTTGTTTACTCGTTCGGTAGAGATGATGTTTGAGTGTTTTGTCGTATGATAGCAAGTACACGTGACATGCTTGCTTCGTTTTGGGTTCATTCTGGGACAATGAAAAGTCGCTGTGGGAAAGACTTCCTCGTGAGCCCAGGCTACCTTTTGACCCTCTCTTCGCTTTACCGGCACGGTTTTTTGTTTGTTCAGCTGCAAATCCTTTAAAAGACGAGTTGTTTTTGCTTTTTACAATACAACGTACTGGGATGGCAGCTAGTTAGTACAGGCATCTTGATCGTCAAGAGTGGTAGCTCCTCTTCGTGGTACAGGACACTGCTGGGTTCGGCTCGTCTTATACAGCTGTGTCCACAAGGAAATACCTTGACTTCGTGAAAAGTAGTACAGCTAGTGGTGCTATGAACAACGAACGATTGAGAGGATACCGGTACTGGTACCGGTGCCAGGTGGCTTCAGGAGGGTGTTATTATGTTATTCTGTGTCGCCGTATTAACGGTGCCGGGTTGATTGATTGAATAGTGTCGGAGACCGAAAGTAGTAGCCCCGAGTTTGGTTTGTTCCTGTTGAACTATATGGCCAGGCTCCAAAGCCTCAAGATTAGCCAGGAGGCCACTTCATTGGCCTTCCACCAATCACATGAAGATGTAGATGATAAACCGACTGCAATCAAAGAATTTTGGAGAGAATCGAGTCGGTAACAGACGTTTAGCTAGATCCCACATACATAGATCCTTTCTGTGGGATGCAAATCGAGGCAATAAGGCCCTTTGTCCTGACTTACCTGCGCCCCATCTTTGCCATCATTAATGACTACCCTGAAACCTCCAGGACACTCTTTTGCTCCAACTTGTTGGGCTGTGTTTGAACCAGGGAGCGAAGGAAAAGCAGAAGTGATTAGATCCGCCAAATGATAGATACGATGCCTCCATGGATTGATTGCTTGCACTTGTCTCATTCAAATTTCTTTCCGTCTATCAAGTGTTACAGTACGGTACTCACCAACATACATGAGATGTCCCAACAAGTCCTTTTGATCCTCCCGTGCTTTGGACAGCTGTGACAATCCATCACGGTTCTTGGGAATGACGATAATATGCACCGGAGCGGTAGGATTCACGTCATGAAAGGCGAGCACCCTATCATCGGAGTAGACTTCCTTGCAGGGAATATCTCCTCGCACAATCTTGTCAAAGATCGTGTCCTCTTCGGGGGTGGCAGTTTGCGCTTTTGCCTGTTCGTCACTCATGGCTCGGAACTGGGTATTCTTGCAGCTATGGTCGTTGGCCAGAACAAGGGGTGTCCGAGCAGTGGTGATAAAGGCTGATCCAGTGGAAAGGACTCGAACCGATTTGGCGGCAGGAGAATAAATCAAGGCACCCAAAGCCGAGAATACTTGAGACGATCGGCGCAGCAGTCTTCAATATTCCAAGGAAGCAGCAAAAGTTGCAGTTAGACCACCCATAAAACAAACAAAATATGAGAAAGGCAAGAGAACCATACAGCCAGCAATAGAGACAAGACGAACGTACCGCATCCGGCGATGAAAGAAACAACAGTTCTGTGGTTGGAGACAACTCGTGCTACTTGTAATAACAGGTCCTTCCAACCCGACACTGATATGACATACTGACAGGGATTCGAGATGAGTTGTGTTCGAGAAAGGTCGAAGATCCATATCTTTGGGAATCTTTGCGGAGAGGCTCGCTCGCGTCGCTGATGGCCATCAAAACCCTCATTCAAACGTCAACTCTCAACTCTCAACTCACTCCTTGCCACAGAAAAGCCAAGTCTCCCAGATAGACTACTAGACTAGCTAAAGTATTGGCACTTCTTCAGCTATCTTGTTGTCAGGCAGTACACAGTGTAGAGACTCGAGAAAGGCTAAGCTCCAACCTCAGCATCACTGTACTGGTAGTGTCATCTTTTGATTTATTTGATCTGTCAAGAATCTTAGTCAGGGTAAGTGTTTGGACGAGGGTATCTGCTCCCGAGCTTCCCAAGCCAGTGGGGAGTGGGTGGCTGGCTGTTGGCCACTCGAACGATCATTCTTATTATTAGCATCTAAATCGCACTGCTTTATCTCCCCAGAAAACCATAATGTCATTCAATCGACTATTCGTCCTGGGAGTATCTCTCTTCCTCTTGGGTATCAGCCTCGTTTCTGCCAGAAGACATTCCTCGGCTGCCTTCATCTCCTCGTCACCCCCTGTCTGTACACGGAAGAACGCCAAGGATTGTCCCTTGGTAGTAGTAGAACCCGCAAAAACAGCAGCAAGAGGTCCAAGAGGAGTCAAGGGTGTCGTCTCCTTGAAAGCGGCAGCTGCCTCGGGGGCCGGTGCCAAGAAGAAGAAGAAGGCCAAGAAAAAGTCTGCCAAAACAGGCACAGCCGATCCAGTGGAGAATGTCAAAAAGGCAGAGCTGGTGGCCAGCATAGCCGAGAAAACTGAATTCACCAAGGCAGAAAGTGAAATGGCCTTGACGGCAGTACTGGAAACTTTTGCAGAGGTGCGTACAGAAAGAAACATAAAACTGCATGCACTGGATGGATGGATGGTATTGTGGCTGACATGTCTCTTTCACTCTCCCTTGCTGTCTGTAGCAAATGGCATTGGGCAAGAAGATCACATTAATGGGATTTGGAACATTCCAAGCCAAGGAAAGGGCTGCACGCAAAGGAAGAAACCCAAGAACTGGGTAAGTACGGCACTGATCCATGTTCTGCCAGAAATATGCCGGTCTGGCGCGAGTATCCTTCTCACTTGGTATTGTTTCCTGCATTGCGTGCAACATTAAATAGGGAAGAGATTGACATCCCAGCTGCAAAGGCTCCTACGTTTTCCGCTAGCAAGGCGCTTAAGAATCTTGTGAATGGGATTGAAGATTGATTGGAGTGAATGACGGATTCCTCTTGCAGCAATACAGGTAGTACGGTAACAGTAACGTTGTCATTAGAACTCGTAGATGTATGAAAGGACGCCTTGGCTGACTACCGGTATCCATAGATAACCAAAGTCCAAGGACGCACCAGAAATGTAGTTGCTCTCTTGTTGGCAGTGGAGCATGAGGAGCTACCGGCCAAAAGGGCTGCCAAGTAGCTCTGGCGGATTGGACACACTTCTGTAAAGCTGCACACTAGTACACCAGAAATTTATCAATTGCAGCAAAAAGTGAGTATTCTAAATATAATTTACTGGGATTGACAGAGACAAGCCTTCAGGCTGGAGTTCTGGTGCCGAGTGGCACGAGGCAACAGAACTGTGGCTTGATGGGTTGACTCTGTGGTACTATTTCTATGGATTATATCGATTGCATTCACACACACCATTGGTGTTAAACATCAATGGTTGTTGGCACTTTTTCGCCCATTGAGGGCTCATCAGTACTGCTCACTGGGGTTGCATGGGTGAACCGGTGGAACCGTGGTTTGTGACGGCATGTATTAAATAGTTCTTCACATCTGTTGAGAAGTGTAGAAGGTTTGTTTCTCATACGTTTGAAGATGTGAAGTACACCAGAAACGAACGTGGCTCGGTCGTCGATCCTTGAACATGGCAACTCGTGAAAAACATCATTGAATATTAGTTTAAAATTATCGAGCACAGCAGATGTCGTGTCACCTTTGGACCCACTCTGTCTGCCGCCTCAGTCTCGTGTTTGTTTGTCATTTCATTCATCAAAGATCCAAGATCAATCGAGAGGGATCCGAAATCTTGTCGGCAATACTCTTCAAGAAGGTAACTCCTTCCCTTCCATCAATGAGACGATGATCGTACGTCAACGCCAAGTACATCATGGGCCTCGCCACAACTTCGCCCTTTTCGTTGACCACGGCTCGCATCTTTGTAGCATGCATTCCCAAAATTGCAGATTGAGGAGGGTTGATAATGGGAGTACCCATTAGGGAACCAAACACTCCACCATTGGAGATGGTAAATGTTCCGCCTGCCATATCATCCAAGGCCAAAGTGCCTTCTCTGGCCTTTTGGGCATACATGGCGATATTCCTTTCGACATCGGCAAAATTCATGGTTTCCGTGTTTCGCAAAACAGGGACGACCAATCCCGTCGGAGACGCCACAGCAACGGAGATATCGACAAACTCACGGTAAACGACTTCCTTGGCTGCATCATCAATGTAGGCATTGACGGCGGGGAGCTCTTGCAGGGCGGCGGTGGCAGCCGTGACAAAAACAGACATGAATCCCAATTTCACCCCGTGCTTCTTTTCAAACTCGTCTTTGTGGCGATTGCGAAGTTCCATAAAGTTACCCATGTCGCATTCCTGGAAGGTTGTGAGCATGGCAGCGGTGTTTTGTGCCTCCTTCAGTCGGGCTGCCACACGTTGACGCATTCTAGACATTTTAGTCCTTCGCTCCGTACGAGATCCAGTAAAGGCGGGGGCATCGGCAATGGGAGGCCCAGAGGGTTTGAGTTGTGGTGGTGGCGGAGTTGGCGGGGCAGCTGCAGGAGGTGGTGGCGGAGGGGGCGCTGCTGCAGCAGCTGGTTCCTCTTTGGCAGGAGCAGCAGGTTCAGGGGTGGATTCGGGTGCTGCTGCCGCTGCAGGCTTTGCCGCCACTTCCACATCGGTATCAAGGCGGAATAAGGAAGCTCCAACCTCTACAACATCGTCTACCTCGGCCAAAATTTCTACCAATGCACCCGCTTCAGGAGCCCTGACATCCACACTAACTTTATCGGTTTCCAAAACCACCACGACATCATCAGCCTGCACAGTGTCACCTGGGGCAACGGGCAAATCCACAACGGTTCCTCTTTAAAAAATGGAAAATGGTGAGCAGCCAACAATATTGTTTCGCCATTGAGTCAGGATTATACACCGAAAAGAAAGAAACGAGGAGACAAACCAAACTTACTCAGTGATACTATCTCCCATGGTAGGGACCTGAGAAAAGAAGTTAGGAAAAGTGCCGTACGCAATAAATCATAATCAGAACGGTGATAAAAGGGACCGAGAATGGCTCGGCAAGGGAGGGCAGCAATAGTATATACCCTACCTCGATGGTCTTGATTGGCATCCAGCAGACACCCGTAGCAGTCGAAATGCCCCGGATAATGGGAATTTTTGTTGGGACGACCGAGTTGTCATGGCCTGTATTTGATACCCAGAGAGACCCAACTGGCTTGCTGATGGTAGATCCCGAAAGATTTCGGCTTCGGCTACCGGCTTGCCCCAACAGGGCACGGCTGCGCCGAGCAACCACTGATATCAACGGACGGCTCTGCATCGTCAGATAACGTTTTCAGATTTTGAATAAACCGGACTCTCGACGATGTGATAGATAGTGTTGCTGCCTTGCTGCTATCACCTCAGCTCTTTCCTTTTTCTTGATGGCAATTGGATCCAAATGGCAACAAAGATCCCAGAATTTTTGTATCGACGCCATGCCAGCTGCCGGCGGAAGCAGGACAGACTGCCGCTACACCTTGACCAACGGCGGTGACGCGCTGTGGGGAGTTTTGGCGGTGGGATGAATCGAATCGAATCTTCTACCGGCAGCCATTTGAAAACTTGTTCTCCTCGATCGCGGGGAGGAACGAAGGAGTAACTACAGTTCTCTTATTAATAGTGTCATATCAACTCAGAAAGGGAGATGGCTGCCCTGTTGTTCTCATTGCATCTACCGGTAGCATTGGAGGCACTTAGCTACCAATAGAGCCATTTTGGCCACTCTAGTACCGGTACCCGTACCGGTATGCAGCACTCTTGCTAAAAGAACCAAATAGGGTAGCCGGGGGCGAGTGGCATGGCACTGGTCCTGTTCTAAGAGCCAAAAACAAAAGGCAGCTATTTCCCGATGAATCCTCGGGAGACTCCCAGTGGTACCGGGCCGGATATCGCTCGACAACCCTCTCTCCCAGTGCAGCAGACGCACCCACGGCCACCACCAGTACACAGTCGCCAGCCATGAAGGCGATCAGCAAGTGTCTCCTCCGAGGTTTCGTCCGGAATGATTTGATTCACCGCCTCGTAGTCGCACTTACAAAGCTCCGCTAAAGCAAATGTTCTTCCCAACAACATCGCCCCAGTACTTTTATTAAATACCGGTACTCTTGATGCACCCCAGTAGGAAATCGTGAATACCCAGGTCCGTCCATCTATTCATAGGATTCTTGCGTCCTCAAGCAAGCAGCCAATCAACGAGTCAACACCTTTTTGTGGTGGCCTCATGAAGGATGAATCAGGACGTTGTGCATGTAAACCTGTTGATAGACTGTCACTCGTCGCACTAAATCGTCGATTGTGAACGGAACTGGCTCGTCTTCGTCCTGCCATTTCATGAAGACTTTCATGGTCTCGTCACATCCATGAAATGGAATTGTTCTGGAGGAGCCAAATGCACGCCGTGGAAACCCAACCCGTTGAGCTGTCAGGCCTTCTGCCTCAGTGTCTACTGTAGTTGTTGTCTACTGTACCGGTATACCCATGCAATGTCAGATCGATCAATCTTTGCCATAGCGTCGTGCCGCCGGTGGCGTGTTCTCTTCCTGTTGTGACAACCCTCATGGTGAGGGGGAGAGGGAGAGTGTGTGTGTTAGAGAGAGACAAGCGAGAGCCCAAAATAGAGACAGAGATGCAGCCTTCATCTAATAAACGCCGTCGCAAGAGCAATCGGAAGCATACCTCGAATGATGCAGACCCCAAGCCAGATGAAACGACCAGCCAGGGTGCTGGAGTGCATGCTCCTGCGACGATTGTTCCCGAATTGGCAGAGATACCCCAAATAGTCATGGAGGAAATGATGAAGACTTCGCCCCGGCAGGTTGCCCAAGCAATGGACGGGCGAAATGACTTGTTAGACAATTCGAACAACAACTCGGAAAAGCACATCAAAGAAGCCTTTCGCTTTGGTGCTCACACAATGGTGTTGGCACAAATGAGACGTTGGTCCGCCAATGAAGATGTTCAGATGTGTGGTTGTTTTTGCATTGAAAAATTGGCCTACATGGATGAGAGGGAACCACAAGTTATTGATGCTGGAGCCGTCGAAGTGGTTCTATCGGCAATGCACAAGTTCCCAAGTTCGGTGGGAGTTCAGTATGGTGGGTGTCTAGCACTCAAGAATTTGTTATCAGGTGACTCGTCGTCTTCCCAATCTACACAAACTATCTCGGCTCGCTTTGTTCAGCAACTGGGTGGAGTGCTGGTAGTGAAACATGCCATGGAAGCAAACTTTGAGGACACAGAGATACAATCGGTTTGCTGTGATATCTTGCGTTTCTTGGCCCTCAAGAAGCAATTTCTTACTGCCATGCTGGAAGCCGGGGTGGGTGGTATTGTCATGAAAACATTGGAGCATCATTGGAAGAAAGACAAAGGCGTCAAGAGGGTAAGGCGACACATTGCATGGAAAGTTTGTTCCCGAAGACTGGGTGATCGCTAGCTAGCTAGCTAGGCTGGTGCTGAAGTTGAGGAGATCGTGGAGTTTGTCTTCCTCCAGACACGTAAAATTACGGATACGACAACGATGAAACCATCAGATACCGTACTGCCCAGCAGCGATCCAGTACATGTACGTAAACGGGGTACCTGGTAGCTCATGGTGATTAATTTCAAGTCCACAACGTTAGTCTGGATCAGAAACTCCCGCAAAGGAAGATCACGGCTGCCGGCGCCGGTAACAAACGTAGTCGGCTGGTCCATCTAAATCTAGTAGCTATGTAGACATGCGCCCACGTACGATTTTGTTGACTTCGTGTCCTCGGGCTTCGAGCAGCCTGATGATTGCAGCACAGTGATTCTTTGGATTGGCTACAACCAGCCTCTGCACGTAATCCCTCCGATAGACGGTATCTACGGTACCTGTACGTGCTTTCTTGCCGTGGCAAAATCTCGTGTCTGAGCCTGAGGATATGGACTTGCATCACACTCGTTTGGCCCTCGTTTTCTAATGTAATGTACTGTAGTAGTTGGAAACTTCCATTGCTGGTTCGTTTGTTGCTTAAAGCTACTGCATCACAGGGACTGGCCATACCAGCATCACAAACAGAGGTACCAGGCAACTAGAAGCTAGTGTGCTGGAGTTAGAACGAGTGCTGGAGTAAGAAAGGGGCCTGAGGCAGACCGAAGTATCACAGCAATGTTTTAAGGAGTAACAGGGATTATCTCCTTATCCTTTAAATAATTGACTACCTTTGGAACCCGAGATTTGTCTTGGTGAAGGACTCGTCAATAAATTTATGCCACGAATACGTATTGCCATCGGTCTTCTTGGTTGCTTCGGAAGGCAGAAAAAGCAACATACCACAATTTTCTCAGTTTACTCGGGCATCTTTCCAGAGCCAGTGGCCAATTTGTAGTGTCCAGAAGCCAATTGAGCAAATCCAACAAAGCAGAGGAACATTCCGACATAGTTGGTGATGTTGTCTCCTTCCTGCTTCAACCAGGTAGGGTTGGCCTCACCCTGGCAGGTTCCTCCCTTCATTTGGATCTTTTTAATCTCATTGATCTAAATACAACATATGGTTGGAAAAATCAGAAAAAGGAAAGACATTGACAGCGAGACAGCGGCATTCGAGAAACCAAGAAAAGATAACAACAATCACACAATTGATATCTCCAAAGTGCCGATGCGCCAATGGGAACTCATCCACAACAAGCGAGGCTACATTCAGCTCGCTTCTTCTAGCTTCCCTTTTCCACCTACCTTGTCGGGATAGTTGGTGATGTAATCCAAGAATCCTCGTCGCTGTTGAGTAACAACCTTGGCCCTTGGGGCGGCTCGGGTGATCAATCGAGAGGCGATCATGGTGGACAGATGGATGACGACGAGATTGTGCTGTGCTTTGGAGGTCGTGACAATAACATTACGATAACCTTTTGAAACCTTTGAACGCTCGCTTGCTCCAAAATGCAAGAAATTCATATGCCCTCTGGGTCGTCTCCGTTTCCAGTACCAGTACTAGTTTAACTCGTTTACTAATACAGGATTATGGTGAATAGAATCGAATGAATCATGTGGCTTATATTTAGGGTTTAGGTTTGGCAATTTTGAAGTCAACGTGGTATATGTGAGGTTGTACAAGTTTTGTGTGATAGTATGTGTTAAGTGGAGGGTTGGTTCACTTCCGCTGGGAGCTTGGTGTCTTCTTCCTGTGTTTCCTGCTCTTCTTCGGTACTGGGGTATTCGGTAATAGGATCGTGAGCAAGTTCGGCAGCTTTCTTCATACCATGTGGAGTGTCATCATTCTGACTATTCGCAGTGACACTTTGGCCGACGTGGTTCGTGGAACAGGTGGAACGGGAGATGACGTATTTGGTTGCATTGGAACTGGGAATGGTTTGCGAATAATATCGGGAGGTCCAGTATTAAGGATTGAAAGTGAGGGCATGGGGGATTTATACGGGAAGCTACTGTAGGAGACTTACCACCGTTCTCCTGCTGGGCTTTTCGAGAAGAGTTCCCAAGAAGGCCTCAAAGTTCATGCCGGGGGTAGTGCAAAACATGGGGAAGGGCCAGTGTGGCAGCATTGAAGGTAACTGGTGGAGTAGAGGTGGGGCGGGGATGGTGTGCGTGCGTAGTGGCTTGTAATAATGTTGACGACGGGCACCAGTGATGGCCCGCATGCGACACGAAGTCCGATGCATCAAGGTTGGTTCGGTGTAAACCAACGGACGTAATACGTGAAGCCGGGAGGTTGACCACAGAGGCCAAAAGAGAGTACACATGGCCCTTGTCGTCTTGAGGAATTCGGATACAGTCGGTATTCGCCTTGATCGATCGAAGATCCGTCACAAGGTGAAGTCTTGATGTCGGAGTGGGTGAGCAGCTCACTGCCAGGGTGTCATGGACCTTGTACCATCTTGTCCTGTTCGTCGAGAACTAGGTAGTGTTCATCCTTATTTGTCGGGTCGTACACGTATTGCATGTAGGCCGTTTAAAGGTTTCAGTGAACCACTTCAAGGCCATTTCTGGGTGTAGGGATCTGGGGCAACAAACGTTCACCAGTTTGTTCCGTCAAATTCACCTCTGGGGCACATGAATAACAAATCCTCTTTGGTCAAAAGAATACCGTTGGTGGCCTCGTAATAAGGGCTTTTCCCCATCAGCAGTAAGCGGGGTCCAACAATTTAATACCCACTCGATCATGTCTTGTCAGAGAGGGCTTGAATAAAGGCCATCATGTCTTTGGTTTAACGCCGTTGACGGAGTGGTCTTTGCGTCGGTTGTACATACACCCGTAGCTTTCTTTCCAACAAAGCCTGGGAACTTGAGGAACATTCCGGGGAAGGGGGATTCTTCGTCTTCCTTGAGGTTGCTGGAATTACAGCGTGGAACTCACAGGATTGAAAGGACTCTTCTTGCTTTGTTGTTGCCGCCCCTTTTTCTTCTTGCTGTTGTCACCCGCGGATAGTAGGGTTCGATTGCGACGAGTGTGTTGATGTCGGGTGTTTGGAAGACAATTTGCAAGAGAGTGCTCCTGAACACACTTGAAGTCCGAACGATAGCAA